TACGTTCCCCTACGAAATGTAGACTGGTAACGAGCCCTATATATGTAGGACTTATTTTAAGTGCTTAATCTCGAAAATAAACTTCATATGTACTCATATTGAAATATATATAAAGATTCTGCCTTCGCTGTTTTGAGTGATTAATAACTTTTATGCAATATGTAATAACAAGAAAGTTGAAATGAAAAGAACAGAAAAGAATAGAATTTGTTCAAGCTCATTAAGTTTAGAAGTTGTCATCAAAAAATATTTAAAATCTAAAGATAACATTGATAAAATGTTGAATGAATTAGTTTTGCAAAATGAAAGATAAATAGATAAATAATAATAAATATAAATAATAGAGACCTATTTGCATTGGACAATATCCACCGATCTGGAGATGCTCACTCCTGAACACTTATTTGCCATTCTCTGACCGTTGGATCGGACTCGAAACTCACGCTATCTCTTAATCACTTCTCCTGCTGTCGAATGTATGTCAATCTTCTTGAGTATTGCATCCATCATGATGATGTTACCATCGTCACGTGCATACATCTGCTGAAACTATCCGGTGTCTATTCTACAAGCTGTAGCTTCCCCCGTCTCAGTTATCATCACCTGGATTTAGTGAAATCGCAATTTCATGTTGAGGATGTGCACTCTTTTCAGTAAGCGATTATGCGAGATTCTCAGTTGTTTTTCTGCATATTGGCGAGCATTATCATCGATTTTCTTGCCGATCGCGTTTTGTTTTCTCTGCGCTTTATCTTTGATCGTCAATAAGTGAATTTTAATCGGTAATTTGCATAATCGTTTATGTACCACGTGAGATATCATCCGAACATCAATACAATATTCGTGCTAACAATATTGCCGCAAATTTGCCTCGGCCGATTTGGAATTTCCAAGCGACCGGTATACTATCTGTTGGATTCGTTCTTTTCATGACATTCGGCACCATGTTATCAATATCAAGCTCGCTCGACGCACGCGCCACTATCGGACATTATCAACGAGATCAAGATCAAGATATTATTTCATCGTTTGCATTTAGTGAACTAATGCATTTAGTGAACTAATTTATATCTTCTAATTGTTTTCCTTCTTTCGTCTGAGTGAATTAAAAGATTGCATAAGCGAGTTAATAATCACTCAGAAGGTGACTTAGTATTGCAGTGACAAATTATCTCCAATAAAACAGTAACTCGATCTGATAGTCGAATGCCATCGTGCTTGGTCATGATGAAAACAAGTACATTTGTACTAAGATTCCCAATTTCTCAGATATATATATTACCGATAGATACATACATCTTATCAGCTTAGAAATTTGACACGTTCATTGCAGCATATAAACCCCATAACGAATCTTTTTCCTATATGTGACCTATTTTTTGTTGAATTTTCTCTCCATACAAAGCTGATATTTTATCACTTTTCTATATTTCTTGACAAAATGAACACTAATTAAGTCTTGGCAGAGTAAAGAAACATAATATGATGTTTCCATAGCACTAGAAATGGAAAAAAAATTCCCCGTTATCAATTATGCTGAGGCAGCGTAAGATTTATTTGCCATGGAATCCGCTGAGAGAACTTGGAAAACACAAGTTCCCTTACAGGATATGTCTGACAATTCAACCTCTGACTTAAATTAAGTATTAACCCTTTGCGGACGAGTGTCGGCAAATAGCCGCCCAAGCCTTTTTACCGTTGCGGACGCATGTCGGCATATAGCCGCCCAATTCTCGCGCTGTGGCTGGCGTTCTTTTGTCGTCCTAAACGATAAGATACGCATGGGTATACTAGCCTAAGAAAACAAATAGCCTCTCAATGAAATTTGAAGCTTCGTAGTGATAAAGTCTTATATTCCGTATAATGTAAACTTACGATGCGAACCAGATGTGATTATAAACTATAATAAATGTATGGGCGGGGTTGATAAAGCAGACCAGTATAAAGACACGTACTGTTTCATATGAAAGTCTCAAAAATGGTGGCAAAAATTATTTTTTTGGGGATTGGAAGTTTCAGTCATAAATTCCTATCTATTATATCAGAAACATCACAAGAAATACAATATAAAAAAGTTAAAACATATAGAATTCGTGCGTCTCTTGGTAGATCAATTGATTGGAGATTTTCGAGACTCTAATCCCAAATCTCCTTCGACATCTGGAACAGCAAAAAGACTCAACGGCCTTCTACATATAATTTGGCGGGACGAAACAGGAAGAAGAAAAGATGTTCCATCGTATGTTCCAATCGAAAAGTAAAACATGGAAGGAGAGAAATCAGGTACTATTGTGCTACTTGTTCGACTAAGCCGGCCTTGCACATAGGTAATTGCTTCAAACTATACCATACAAAGCTCGAATATAAAACGTCTCATATGTAAACAGAACTAAATTTGTATGTTTATGATATTGTTGGATTTTATGAAAAAGTTATTTAAAAAAAGCTTTAGTTTTTATAACGCAAACGTGCGACGTGGACAATTTCTTTACTGCACGCTCCAATACCTGTTGTCCACAGCGACGCTCGTCCGTCGAGCGGCTCTGTCCGCAAAGAGTTAAGATCTGATTCAAAAGATTCACTGTGTAGTGAAGATTTCCAGGCGTATGATTCCTCCGAAGAAATAATCAAATGTAATGAAAGTGATGAGTACATTTGTGACGATGAATTAGTCATAAATATATTTGTACGTAGCAATGTATCTGACAGGTGGAAAAATATTAGTGACAAATCAATTACTTTCTCCAATTTCTGATTCAAAAGAAAGATACATTATTCCAGAATATATTATATCTATAGTAAACCTTTAGATTTTTTCAAATTATTTATCTCTTATGAATCATGAGTCACGATATTACGGATATTATGGTGAATGAAAACAGGAATTATGTTTTTCAAATGATTGAAGCATGTGATTTGAAAAGATCCGTAAAATTGAAAAATTGGATATCTTTAACAATGAAAGAAATGAATTCATTTTTGACTACTATTATATCGATAAGATTAATAGAAATTTCAACAATAAATATCTATTGATTGTGTTTTTCGATTTCAATTAATTAAATAGACTATATGCAAAACAGTCATAAAATTAGTGTTTGTTCGTAAAAAGTTCAGTTTATCTTTTCTTTAATTATAAAACTTATTTAAAAATAAAACAAACAATAGACATTTATGAATTGAATATATTGTCTGTTTCTTAATTAATAAATTATCGCGTATTACAGTCAGTGATCTTCTTGATTAAGAATCATTTCATAGAAGAATAATAGTAAGTAAATGTTGTAATTAAAAAGTCCTTTGTTCTATAATGAATATATATATATATATATATATATATATATATATATATATATATATATATAAAATCATGCCAAGAGATAAATGTTTACTTCCGTTGAACTGTTTACATTTCACCGATAATATGATTGATTACGACAAAGATGTATGTAAAAAAATGAAAGTGTAATTCCTTGGAAAAGACATTTGTTATTCAAACAATACAATAAAATTATAATTTGTGAGACATTAAGAGCTAATAGAAAAGGATTACCAGAATCAATTAGGAAAAAGAGATTCAAAGAAAAGAGTGGATCCAATCATTAGCTAAAAGCGATGGTACAAATAACAAAAAAAGAAAGTGTAAAGGATTTTATCAAGAATTAAAAAAGTATAAGCAGTCGACAAATAGATAAAAAATGCAAAAGAGTCGCAACCTTCTGTGAAAAATCAGTGGAAAATTAGCGTACTACAAACAATGCTTTAAAAAACAGATCAAACTCTAATTCATTGTTCTAATCATATAAAAAAAAAAACGAAGAACTTTGTATTCTTATTTAAGATCACTTCATATTATATTTATTAGAGTTTATTTTTTACTTTTCTTTAATTATTTTGTAATCATTTGTTATTTATTATAGAATTGAAATAAATATCATATACTTCATTATATTATAATATACTTCATCAAAACTCAGAATAGATGTACGATGTTTACGGTAATCCTATACAGTTAAATAAAGAACTACAATACGATCATTCAGTAAAAATTATTATGAGACACTATTACCTTGTGCTGCCAAATAGAAAAGTTTAATACAACCTATTATTAATATGATAATGCCTATTTATCCTGTACAGATAAATAGAAATTCTCAAAAAAGCTGCCGCAATGAATGTGTTAAGTCTAAAAAAATAATTCCACAGAATGCACCCGATCTCAATTGACGAGAATGAGCTAATAACATAGGAATATTTTTTATTCATTATTATCTTATTAATTTGATATTTAAAATAATGAAGTGTATTTCATGTAAATTTTTTTTAAAGCAATAACTCCATTGAAATTCTCCTTTCATCAACAAAATTAATTGAATATTTAGTTAATATTTCATGCAAAGATAATTGAGAAACCTCGAATGACTCCATACAAATGGCTATTGTAATAAAAGAACTAGATAATGATCCGTTACTTAATTTCCGAAATCTATTCGTCGCGTTTGTGTTTTTGCTTGTTTGGTATTTCAATATAATCGTAATTAAATCGTAATTAAATAATTTAAGTATAAAATAATAACGTATAAGAAACGTATACTATATAACTACTTTTTTAGACAATATCAAGTGAATTAATGTTTGATTTCACGACTAATATCGTAAGAAAACACAAAAAAGTAATGTTAATTAATTGCATTATTTAAGTAAAAAACTCGAACTAATGAAACAAGAAAATGCTATCCTTAACTAATAATAAAAATAATAATAATAATAATAATAATAATAATAAAAATAATAAAATAAATAATAATAATAATAAAAATAAAAAAATAACAGTAAAAAACAATTAAAAATGTACCGCTTGAATAAATCCAACAAAAAAGGAATTACTAAAAGTCATGCTTTTCAATAATTTATTGAAGAAATTACTAAATTCATACTAAATTCAGATCATTCATCTTTGACATGATAAGCACTGAAAAAACTTAGATTTGTTCACTCACTAGTTAAGAAGTTCTGCGATGGCTCCAAAACACTCGTCCACATTGTATATCGAAATTAAAGTAGATCGATTCGCAACACATCAATAATAAAGTAGATTTACGTTAGGTAGATTGAAAATAAAATAGGTTGAAGTTGTAATAGATTAATTGAGATTCCAATGATGATCTGGAAAAGGATAAAAAAAATTTTTATTAAATTTATTATAATAAAATAGATTGTAAAATTACATCAAGTATAAACGTATAATATTTATTTACTATTATTTTTATATAGAAATAGTTCTTAATGAAAAAGGTCGGTGCACTAAATCTAATATGCGATAATTTATTAACCGTTTACGTACCACTAGCCACTTTCGCGCTCTTCAGATTTTGTGTCGAAAAAAGCCAGAGCATTTGGCCGAAACAGTTTTATATTTAAGAATAGTTTATATAACTGTATGAAAGATAAATAAAACTTTTTATGAACAAATACTGACTTTATGAGTGTTTCGCGCAATCTAGCATATTCCTAAAAGTTAATTAAAATTGCGAAACATAACCAAATGAAAATTAATATAAAAACAGTCTATTTTACGATTCTTTTTTGTTTTAGCGAAATAAAGATCGATTCATTTATTGCTGTACGAATTATTACAGAATGATCATTTGAAATAAAATGAAAACAATATTAATATTTTTATTATAGTAAGGAAAAATCGTTAAAAGTATGTAAACAAAAAGAAATTGATTGAGTTGTTACTAAAATTACAATGGAATAAACCAACACTATGTAATAAAAAAGATTAATAAACAATATCAATTATTACCTATAATAGAACAATTTAATAACGATTATTCTCCGTTGCAATCTGCACAATCGACACCATCAAACAATTCTTTTCTTAAGTTTACTGACCTCATCTTACTAACGGCATCTTATTGAAAACAAAAGCCATGCTGTTTACAAGACATGGTGGTGTTAAACAGTGAAGGTTGACTTCTCACAATTTAACGAAACAAATAAGCAGAAGGACCCACGTGCAGCTTGGGATCCACCAGTGACTTCACCCTGAACTACAAAATATTAATAATGTTTATAGCATGAATTATTTTCTAATAATAAAAGTACATGGCACAATTAATAATTATAGTTTTATTAATAATTATAATAATTATTAATTATCTTAATAAAATAGAATTACATTTCCATGAGAATAATTAAGGTTATTCACTACCTTTTGTTTAAAACGTGTGTAACTTCAACGACAGGTATGAACAAAATATGAAATATGAATACAAACCATGAACGCTATTCCTACCATGCCATTTATCGTACCGCTATATAACCTTGTTTGGTCATTCCCCTCTGACACGATATAATTGGTGTGAGTGAAAGTAAATAGGTTAATAGACTGAACTATCTGTTCAGTCTCTCATATGTATATCTTTCTTTGATAGTAGCGTGCATCTCCCAGTGATCCATGTTAGATACGACATCGATACCCATTTGTTTCACGATAAATGCATATAAAATAATAAATATAATTAACACATAAGAAATAAAAAAAAGTATATAAATCTGCGACAAAAAATAAGAATTTGTCGAATATTTTCTTACAAATAATTAATGAAAACTTATATATTATATTATTTTAATACAAATTAAAACATGAGTTCATTTCCATACTACCTATGAAATAGAACTACTAGTGTTTCTTTTTACATAGTTTCCCTTATAGGACTAGTCCACTCCATACTAATTCTACTATTATTACTACTATTATTATTATTATTACTACCATTATTACAACTACTGATAATAATAATAACATAATATAATATAATAATAATAATAATAATGTACTTAAATATTATTTATATACATCTAGATATTATTTAATACATTTTATATTATAATAGTAAAGATATTTATATATAAAGATATTTATATATAATATTATAATAGTAAAGGATAGTCGAAGTTAATTGACTAATCGTGAGAAGAAATAGTGTGGAAACATACATAACGATCATAAAGTAGTATTGGGTGGGCAACTAAGTGATTGCGGATTTTGTCGATAGATGGACTTTACACTTTCTTTTGTTAAATCTGCAATCAATTAGTTGCCAACCCAATAAAACAAGGAGAAACGTTAGCAGACGAAAACAAAAGAAACGTTTCAAAATTTTATTCATATGTCGTTACTGTTAGAGAAATTTCATATGACGAAATTATCAATGACATGATTTGTTGAGAGTTCACGTCAAGCACCACACACAATGATATATTTTAACTTCACTTCTTATTATAAATTACAGCCATCATATGCCATCATATGTATATAAGTATCTTCTATTTCTTCTTATTACTGCTCTTATTGCTATATTATTATATTATATATTATTATTATAATAACAGTAATACTAATAGTAATAATGTGAAGTGAACTCCTACAGAGGAAATAATACGAAATAGCACTGGAAGAAAAATCTCATAGATAATGTAGAAAGGAACTCGTGTTTTGATCTTTATTAAAAATAATATATATAATATATATGTTCACTAATTATTAATTTTGAAAAAGTAATCGACAAATGTATATACTTCATAATTATTTGTTATTGAACAAAATTATACTGTTGCTATGTCCTATCTAGCATAGATCACCACGAAATTCACGTCAGTCATCACTGGAGGAAACAAATATAAGAAATTAGATAATAAGACTTTATCAAATTATCAAATAAGGAAGAAAGAGTAAATTAGTTCATTATTTTCATTGATACAGTAAAAAAATACCGAAAAATTATTTAGCCTTGCAGAATCTACAATTTTTATATTACGAATCCAAACATTTGCCAATGAGCTACACATTGTTTGTAGAGTCTTTATCTTATTAGTTAATAAAATCTAAAAGAAACTATAAATTTTTCCAAATGTTAACAATAATATAGAAATTCAGATCCCTTGACATAAACGATTGGATATGTATTTTCTTATTTTTGCCATAGAATCATCTGTCTAAAGCTTACTAATAAAATGATCGAGTGAGCTATCGTAGCTTCTCCGTACGAGTATTGTGAAACCCATTTGTTTGCGTTTAAAAATGTTTCAAAAATCTGAGTATCAGCTATTTATACAACAACCAAGTAAGCAATCGCTACTTCACGGACATAAATATGCACCATTCAAACGTGATATGAAAATCAGTCGTGGGAATATAAGCTTCATCTCTTTTGCAAATTTCAAGGGACGCGTATTAAACTTTTTCTTCGCGAAAAATGTCGAAAATAGTATTGACGCTATCAATGAAAACTGAAGTAATTCTCGATCAATTTTAATGAATAAATTTTAAAGGCCAAAATGTAATCTCTAGCGCCTTTAATTAAATCGCTGTTCCGGCGGTGTTTTGAAAAAGCTTTTTATTTTTGCATAAACTATTTTCGTAAAAATACCATTTTTTAATACAATTTTTTTTTCAAATAAAATAAAGCTTTTTCAAAACTTCGCTAGAATAGCGCCGTAGACTAAATCTTTGTCTTTAAAATGAGATTTCGTTCATTAATATTGATCAAGAATTACGCCTGTTCTCATTGATGACGTAAACCATTAAAAAAGGATAGTGAATTTTATTAACAAGAATTTACTTACCTTCATATGTAATAATACAGCCGAATGTATCGTGAACAGGGAACGTATTAAGTTCGGTTTAAAAAGTCTTCATCGCCATCTACCTCTGGAAACAAATTTTTTTTCAATCAAAATAAAATAATTTCCATTGTACCTTAAAGTATATTCTTATACTAGAATTTACTTGAAATTTTTAAATAAATACCCAACTTATTTTCAGATACATATGAAAAGAAGTAAAAAGTAAAACATGCTCTTCACTGTATTGTACTGAACTTCGTAAAATATTACGTATTATTACTTGTAAAATAAATTTTATCTCTATAAAATACGATTACATATATGTGGAGTATTGCTTTTTAGAAGAAATAATTGAAGCAGTTTATCTTACAAAATAATTTTAAATGGTAATATAATCAGGCTATTAACGAATCATTTTACACAAGCTTTTACAGAATGTCCTTTCTTTGTCTTTCAAATCCTACCAGTTTCTTCGAATTCAGTCCAACAAATTCATTCATATTTCATTCATTCGAGTTCTTGTTTACACGTTTGTACCATAAGCTTGACAATAACGATTACTTATCGTTGTGAAACAAAGTGATCTGATTTTAAGAATCCTACATTTGTATGAATGAGTATGTACAGTGAATGTATAAATTTATATGCGTTACATAATAAAGTTTTTGATGACGTATCATGTGATATGGATGTTAATTTAGATGATACGTACGGTTATGTACCATTTATGTGTGTATCCGTACACATACAATTTATACTAGTGATTCCTAATCTAAGGTACGTGCTCAATGTTTCATGTAAAAAATTGAATAATGTAAATGCAACTATTTTTCTAATATTGAGGGTATAATTTTGGGAAATTAGTTTGTAGAAAAAATATGACTATAGCTCTATCGAGGACAAACGACAATTTTATTTCCGTGAATATCTTTCAAATGCAACATTATTTTGACTCGCAAACAATACAATGTAAAAATCGCATGTTTAGCTATAAATTAATATATTAGACGAATAAAAAAAAATGTTAATTACCTGTAATTATAAGGACGATAAATTTTCATGTCAATCTGTCGATACACGCGAACTAGTCTTAACGACACCGACAATAAGGTTGACCAAGACGTCTTAGAGCAAGGCATTTCACGTCAATGGAATAGGAATGTAAACTGATAGCTCACGAGTCTCATGCTATTCCTCTTCTTATAGGACCGCCATCGTACGAATCAGCAAATTAAGTATTTAGGTGCTAATGATAGGGGAACTGGCAGACTAATATTAGGACACTTGCGGCAATAAGGAAGATATTTCTCAGCCCTATAATAAATGAATAAATACGAAAGAACAATAAATCGAATAATAAATAAATTTATCTATGTAATAAATTCGAATCTCTGTAAATATTCATTTTGTGTAAATATTCTGAAGAAACAATATTTATCTCTTATTCATTATACCTATTAGACATGGCTAATAATATAGAATTTATAATTAAAATAAAATATCATGAATTGATAGAAATTCGCAATAAAGTAATAATTTTGAATAAATAATAATCTGACACAATTATAGGCAATGACGGCTTTCATACAAAATCATCATTACACATATGTATTTATCAAAAACATACGTTTCGATGTTTGATTTTCTTATAAATTTAAGATAAGTTAAACTTTCTAAAAATCGATCTTTTTTCGGACCTATAAACAAAATTATATAATCTAAAAGTTATATATTATTTTTATTAGTACAATTATACAATACTAAGTATACTTTATATTTAATAACTATGAAAAATGTTACATATAAAGTAGCAATTAATATATTGTTGATAAAGTGAAATCAAATTTATACTAACCTTTTATTTTATAAAATACTTACTATTAATTAATAAAAATACTGGCCAAATAAATAGAAATCAATCAAATGGCAATATTTCTATTGGACAGAAAAATTTTTGTCAAAATAACCAACATACTTGAAAATATTCACAATGAGTTTAATTTAATTTGAAATAACACTATAACCACTGTAACAGATAATATAAATAAGCTTATAGGAGCTTTTAAAATATTTGAAGTGGAAGAATTGGAAGATTCAAATACTATCACCGATACTACAAATTTTAGTGGATATTTAAATGAAAATTCATATAATAGTAGGATGGAAAAATATAATGATATGAATAAGAAAATTAATAGTGAATACCTTCCAGTATCTTTTCTGAGCAAAGGGTTTCTTTGTTGTCTAAGGACTTGAAATGCTGTGTTCATATTCTTAACTTATATGTAACAATGGATGTTTATAAAGATTTATATCTTCCTTATGTGATATCCACAAACAATCAAAAGATATACATTTTTGTGAAAAGCTATTAGAAGATCAAATACATATGAAATTATTATTAAAATTTTAGGATGTACTCTATCCAAATTCATATAATGAAACGATGAAGATTGAACGAATGAAACTGTCAATCTTATAAAATATTTAACTTTATGACCTTATTCTTATTCTTATTTCTAATTTTATAGAACATTTCTTATTATATATTATATCCATATAAAAAATGAATATCTATTTAATTAATGGCAAAAACAATAAACAAGATGAACATTAAGCTTGTTATAATTGTATACTTTATCTTGCTTAGATCCATAAATCTCTATAGTCCGTATATTATATATTACACACATAATCTGAATTCAATAAACTTACATAACAGATCGACATAATATTAAGTACTTGCAAAAACAATCCCTTGAACGTATATCTCACTAACAATCTTCTCTTTGGCAGTGGAAGTGTATTATCTAGAAAGAGATAGCAAATATTAAATAATATTCCAAACAAATAAACAAATCTTAGCTATTTCATCTATAATATAAATTTGAAAGTATTAAATGACATTGTTCAATGAATAGTTACAAGTATTTTATAAAGCATAACAATAAAATGATAAAATTAATTAATTAAATTAAACCAAAAGAGAAATTAGGAAATTTAACAGTAATTTATAGATTGCAATATATTTTTAAGAATTAAAAATATGATAGAATAAAATTATTTTTACAATCCCAATTATAATATAGAAAAAATATATCAAATAAGCTTTAACTGAAAAAATATTATGATAAAATAAAAAAAGATCGTTAAGCAAAAATATAGTAGAAAATACTTGTTTCTATTTAATAATTCTTTTCATTATTAAAAATATTTTTTTTTTATTCAATTGTTCTTAATTCAATTAAAACAATATATCACATATTTAAAAGAATTCTTTAGTAAGATTAAATTCTTAGAAAATCTGAACAACTCTTTTATTATTATTTATTGTTTATTTCTCAATTGATTATTTATTATAAATGTAAATATACTATATAAATACGATTAAATAACATAGAATCTAAAAAAGATATAAATAATAACGTAATACAGAAAAAAATCTTATGAAATTTATAAAAATTGCTGCTATATCTATAATTACATAAGGGTATAAAATTTATTAAAAGAGAAAATGAATTTTTACAAGTTGCGAGTGTAAAAAAAGAACGATTACCATGCTTAAACGATCTAAAGCAAATTAGAATAATAAACATTACAAAAAAAATAACCTCTATTATCTTGAAATGAATTTGAAAACACCTTCGAAATGAAAATTAAACAATAGAAAAACAATCACTTTCTGGAATGATTGAAAGCAAATAATATATTATGTATATATTAGCAAAAAAGTCACCTCTACTACCTCGATACAAAGTAATGATTCTATAGAGAGCGAATATCAAACAAAAGGACAATGGTTAACTCACAAAGCGATCTGTAGTGAATAAGAACAATAAACATTCAAAAAAGAAGTCACCTCTATAAATTCGAAACAAAATTTTATTTACGTATATAATCTTTGTTTCCTAGTACACGTATTCTTATTTTCTTCCGTTTTATAATAATATTTCTATAATAAATTTTCAAGAATAAAAAGTAACTACAGAAAGGCATAACGAATGAAACATATTCTTAACAAACGCGAACTGATTATTACTGTGATTGTGTGTATTTCATCAGATTATAAATATGACCTTCTAAGATTATAGGATATATATAATAATAAGAGGATATACTCTATTAATATATAATAGGATATAGATAATAAGAACAGACAAATAAATGCGCTAGCAAAGAACAAAATAATAAAGCGAGTCTTACAAAAATAAACGTGATTTTTTAAGAATAATAAAAATTTATGATAAATGTATGTAACAAACGAATATTACACATATAAAAGAAAAAAGTAGCAATTATTGAACAAAATATGTCGTAAAATATCGATAGAAACGTTCTAAAATACTAATATATTATTGATCAAATAAATGATAAATAAATACTTTGAAAATCATACACAAAAAATGTTAAATAACATTATATATGCTATTAACGTAATATGTGAATAAAGGAAATTTTGCTTTATAACTGTTCATCAGAATTTAGTAACTTATTAAAAGTAAATCGAAGGTTACTTAAAATTCTTACAAATTCTTATATTAAAAAAAAAGATGCATAAATAAAATATTTAAATCTTACCCAATTAAATAATTACAAATATATCAGAAGAGATAAGAGATAAAGAATTTCGAAACTCTTCTCTAGAAGCAGAAGGATCACTCTTCTCAAAAGATAAACGATGTATAAACTTAACGTTTCCACTGTCGATAGCCCTCTCCACTCATATGAAAATTCTAACGAATAATATATTCATCTAGATCTATGAACCAATTACGACAATCGATAGTTCAGAAATGTATCATTGATTTATGGAGCCCCATGCATAATTATTTATTTTTACATTGAAATCTTACGCCGAGAAAGCAATTATGAATCAAACGTCTCACTACAATACCGCTAGAGAGCCGCAGTGATAAAGAACGAATTACCACCGTAACCTCATTAATTCAGTTATTTTATTTCTTCAATTAAACAAAATAAAAATCTAACAACGATATACTTGTAATATATAATATAAAATGAACTATAAAAGTTCCTGTTATCGTTACACACATACACACATAACACACAGTTTTGAAAGATTGTGTGAAAATAAGGAATGAACTAATATGTCGTAAAAAGAAAGGTTGATTTAAAGTATTATAAAATGAATATTGTTTTCTCATAAAATTATATATTATATAATACTATCTTATATTATAACAACCTAAAATAATTTGTGAAAGAATAAGTGAAATAAATATTAATGTTTTTCATGGCATAGCATACAGAAATTAACATGACAAAGATACGAATTAAATTCAGGAGATTCCATTTATTACTTCATTTATTATTTCATAAATGGAATTTCCTGAATTTAATATATAGTTATTATAATTCTAAAACAAGTAATTGTTAGAATAGATAGAGAAGTAAGATTTTTTTCCTATAACCAATATTGAAATAAGTAGTAATATATATATATATAAAGATCTTGTAAGAAGTTTCAATTTTTTAATATAAGGGATAAATAAAATAAATATTCACAGCTTCTATAACTTATTTAAATTTCTGTGAGAATATTAATTTAAAAATATAAAAACAGTTTTGGATATACTATTCTTTCTTATATGACATCTAACTGTATTATATTAACGATTTTGTTTCAAAAAGTTTTGGTTTTATTGTTTTCAAAGCAAAATAATTAGTGGCTCCAGAAGATTAATTTTTGGAGATATGATACATTTGCTTAACAGTAGATAAATTTTCATAATATGAAGCAAAATGAGCAATATTTTATTAAATATTTGATACATTTGTCGAAAAGATTACAATTAACTGGATCCATTATGGAAACGAATTGGCAAAATAGTATATATAAAATCAACAAGGAAACAGTTATAGCATATATAGAAGAATAAGATTAAATTAGAGTTACTATACAGTAACACTTACTAGATGATTACAGAATTTTAAATTTATATATATTAGGGTAAATGAATTTATTTTTATAAAATAAATAAAAGTCAATTATTTACAGTTGTACATCATTTTATTATTAAATTATTTTTCATATTGTGATGCAGAACACAGTTAATCTTTATTGACACATATATGAGCTCATTTAAGAACATCGCAGCTAATCGATTTTAAACTTTCTCTTTGATATTGACAAAATTGCAAAACTTATAAACATCTTTGATAAACATCTAATGGTAAAGGATTATGTCTGCTCTAATCTCATAGATACTTTACAAAGTTTGACTTTAGACTTAATCACACAGTTATAATTAGATAATTTCTGATAACTTAGTCTATCTTTGATATAAAGAAATTTACTTTTTAATTATATACTTGGAAATAAGTTAGAAATAATTTTTTTAATTTATATAACGAGAATATAGATAAAGAGAATAATATTTTATCTTTTACTTGGTTGACACAAAGATTAAGAAAACCTCTAAATATAGAAAAAATCTATAAAAAAAAAACGAAACAGTTAAAAGATACGTAAGCAGCAGGTAAAATATCATAATTAATTGCTAGCATTAACTAATAACTAATCATCTATATACTTTTTTTTTTAGTACGTTTATTCGTATATTTATATTTACTCGTATATTTAATGAATTTATAATAGCAGTTTATGACAGACCAGAAATGTGCGACAAAATGTAAAATTTCGAGACAGCAAAAAAAAAATGCATGTAGAAAGAAGTTAGATAAGTGAAGGATAAAAAGATTACAGGAAAGCATCTAAAGAAAAAAATCAATATTGAAGACTTAATTATATATTTTTATTTTTTCATAAAATTTTTAATTTATTAATATAATTTTTTTTTAAATTAAGACATAGTACTCTCGATAGTAGAAGCAAAACACCAGATTCATAAGAAGTATATTATAAAAAATTAAAGTACATAATTAACGTAATTAACACAATTAAAGCTTATGAAAGTATTTCTATTTTTTAATTTTACGTGTACAAATATACACGAAGAGATATATACTAAGAGATGTTTGTATCGTGAAAAAACGAGAAAACGATGTAATAATTATCTAATGCGAACTCACGTTATAAAATTTTTTTTATTTTATAATACATATCAAATACTAATTAGAAATTATTTAGAATATATTTTGAATATATTTAGATACTAATTAGAATAAATAGAAATTAAACAAATTTGTATTTGTGAATTGTATTTATTTATACACATTTATATATTTGAATCCATATTATTTAAAAAAAATATTATCATTATTAAACTACTGTATTTTCTTGTACAACATCATTGATTAAGCACTTTGACAAATTTTAATTTCCTGATTGAATACAAAAAATAATGATTCCCCCATTATGTAAAACTGTATAAAATATATATAAATTAAAAAATGAATCAGAAAATAAGAAAAAATATTAAAATAAAATTTGATGTCATCTAATATAACGTTAGCAGAAATTGAAAGCTATTGTTTCTTGCTTTTTTTCAACCTTGAATGGGAAGCTTGAACTGATCTATGGAGAGTGTATTGATTAAAACAAAACTGGATGTATTCGAGGCGAATTATCGTCTTAAATAATAATTTCGTCTGACTAAGCCGAACTTACAACGAGGAAACTTCTTATTTTACCATTCTTAGTTCTCTTGTTGTCTTTTTATTTTATAAATAAACTTTTCTATACATTAAATTCAATTGTTAAATACCAACAAAATTTTTGTTTATTTTTTAAATTAAAATGTTTATTAGTTCGATAAAAGTGCTCTGAAAACTATAATATGAGTATATGACAAAAGTACATAGTAATGCCAGTTTTTAGGCGATATATTCAATATTTGCATAAAGATCGTGCAGATAATTTAAATATTACTCATACTAATATAATTAAGCATTTTTAAACTAAGCATTTTTTATTGGAATTAATATTTTTCGAATTATTTACTTAAACTTATAATTCGTTCGAACAAACTCATTTTTAATTTATGAATTAGATCTTTGATTGCTCGTTTATAGATAATGTACATATATAAAGTAGATTTATTCTCGAAAATCGCAATACAATCTTCGATCATTATTTTAATTCGATTTCTATATCTTAACGATAAAATTATGTATTTATCAATATTTATCCGATTGAAATTCATCGATGTTCTTCAGATTAACATCTCAAGGCGATTACTTGGAACGACAGATTACGAGAACTTGGAATCGACAGTTGAAAGAAGATTCTTTTTACATGACAAATCTATCATCAACGATTTCTCCTTTACTAGTTATATCAATGAAATACATGCACCGATCAATTAAATTGAAAATATCTGGATGTTTGTTATTGATATTCACGGAATTTAATTTATTTGAAAAGTAAAGAATGTCATCGATTTTCTTTTCTTACCCATTATTGCAATATATTCGAAATAATTCGAAATATCAATAATATTTATATTCGTCAATAATAATTATAATTTAAATAATGCACCTGGTAACATTTACAGTTCGATAATATTGTGTTAAAATGTTGTATAATAAATGTTGATAATAAAATATTGATAATAAAAGATAATAAATGCCATCTATCAATAAGAAACATTCTTCTAACTCCTTATTGGAGACAATATACTCATTACTTTACTATGAGCATAATTTTCAAGCGCAATATTAACATTGAATAATTACAGACAATCTATAAATATAAAGAGACAACTTAATAATCTTACGGCAAACAATCAAGAGATTGAATATATCATGTATTTGGACATTTGTTTTAAATAAAAACAATCTGATTATTAAAATTTTAAATATTCAAAATCTACTTTGATCCATTATATAGCCAACAATTGCTTCATTATTCAAGAGAACGTTATGTTAAATAGAATATGAAAAGATTAAGCTCACTTGGATTGATATTGTTAAATATCTGTAAGAAAATAATAAGAGAATAATTCAGAACAAGTGTTACTTTCCGAATATTTACAGCAAGATAATTTTCATCCTTTCCTTGATCCATTCAAGAGGGAATGAGATTTTGCATGAAAACGCGTTGTTCTCGGGTGTCTATCTCTAATGTATCTTCTTTCTTTATCATTCTCTGTTTCCTCTTTTTCCGACTTCATATATTTCTATTATCTCTTTTCCCTCTTTCTCTTCTCTTTCTTTCTTTTCTTTTCTATTGTGTACCTTTTTCTTTTTGTTTTTCTTTTGCTTTATTCTTTTCATATCCTCCCGATTTGTAGCATTAGCGGCTTTTCACGATACTTTTTCTCGTCTTTTCTCTCTTTTACTCTTTCTGCAAACTCCCATCTTCGAACAATTCCTCTTTATTAACATCATTTTGTTCTTTCTTTTCACTATTTCTCTTTCTATCGTATACGCATAATTACATATCGAGGTTGAAGGTTTCCATCTGATCTTTCCGTATTGACTCTATTAAAGATTTAAGATTCTTCTATTTTATTCTCTTTTATTATTGTGCACGAAAAAATCATTTTTCCGTATACAATAATAAAAGAAAAAATCCGTTTAAAATAATAATAAGAAAAAATCCGTTTTTTCGTCGGATTTTTCTATTTTATCTCTTTTCTATTTTTTTCTTTTTCTTATCGACATACGTCGACAAAATATTTTTTCTGCATATAGTAATTATGGTAAATGTATTGTTAATTATTTTTGTAAATCCATTGTTCGTTAATAACTTGTCCTTACAAATTCTGATATAACATTCTATTTGAAAAATCAAATAGGATTTTCGTAAAATTTTGTATAAAATGTTTTAAATATAAATTTGCTTGAGAAAATTCAATGGTATAAAAGAATTTACTATAAATATTTGCTGGAAAATGATAATAACATAATTTAATGAAAAATAGGTATATTAAATATTTATTTTCCTTTTTATTATTAACCCTTTCGGTACGGAGGACCTGGCCGCGGTTATACATTCGTGGGACGAGGAAGTTTTCCGCGAGAGTGATTGCACTGTACGATAGCGTAAGCCGCGGAAACATGTTTTGCGGCATTCTAGAAATCAATGATTTTGGAATCAATGATTTCCTTTATCCATTGTTTTCCTTTCAAGCGTTTTACACTTATCCTGAAGAGAACTAAATTTAAATTGTAAGTTATACATTCAAAAAATTAACGATATAAGCATACCAGTTAATAAACATACCAATTTGTTTTTCGTAGCTTATCTATATATTATAAAACATATATAATTAAGGCATGCTGTTGACTGTTACTAATTATATATTATAATGGAACGATTAAAACAGCCGAAAATTTTAAACACAGAATAATAAAGTAATGCGTACTATAGAGAGTAATTATACCTACATAACTTTCCGTGGATGCCGCCAATTGGTGGCGGTAGGCAACAAAGAACGTTTAGTGGATGCCGCCAATTGGCGGCGGTAAGACCCAGAGAACGTTTAGTATATGTCGCCAATTGGTGGCGGTAGAACCCAGGGAATGTTTGGTGAATGCCGCCAATAGGCGGCAGTAGTACCGAAAGGGTTAATACGTCGTATATAATCCAATATAATTAGCAAAAATGTATCATAAATATATAATATTGAATATAATATAATATTGAAACATGAATGTGATATCATATTCATATTATATAATGATAACGCAAATCTTGATATTTTATTTTAATAGAGAAGTATGTTTAATAATTATAAAGATAATTTCCAATTATTTTCATCTTCTTAAATATCATTTTAAATTGTCGCAAAGATCGAATCAAAATTTTGTTTTCAATTTTAATGTGGTATTGTACAATATATAAACTGGTTGAGCTCTCTTCTTCTTAATTCCCTCATATCTTCACGAACAAATGATAATTTTATCAGAGAACCAACGCTCGTTCATTTAACGCAAGTATGATTCGATTTTTCGGTAAAAAGCTGGCGAACGAAATTATAAGCTATTACAGAAACATTCTCATCCTCGTTCTAATTTCTAGAATTTTGTCAGGATTTATTTGGAGCTCCTCTAGGAAAATAAAAATTAATATAAAAATATTATTGAGTTTTTATTAGATTAAGTTCGTTTAAAAGTTCCAAGTCTCTAATAATAAAATATATTATAAATTAACATTTATGATTTAATTTTTTGAAATTTTAAACGAATTAAATATATTTTATAATATGAATAAATATATTTTAATATATTTTAATAAATTTCATAATATAGTTGAATAATTTGAACTTATATAATATATATATATATATATATATATATATATATATATATATATATATATATTATATATATAACTATTGAATATTAGTTCTACATATATACATATATATCATCAAAACTAATGTTCAAAATTATTTTCTTCTTATAAAATAATATCATTAACAACCTTCTTGGATATATTCATCCCTTCTACATAAATCTAAGCAAACGCAACATTGTAAATATATATTATATAAACAAACACACACACACACACAAACACATATATTTGCGTATGCACATGTGAGCATACGTATAATAAAGTTATACATATAATGTTACATAATATAGTTTTATATATGCATACATATAAATATTATATATGTTTATTAACCCTCGATCATGCAAACACAGATAACTAGTCAGCTTTGGAACCTTCCATCTCTCTGTTCCACTGTCGATCGATATAACACATGCATACACAAACGATGAAGGTTCAAAAGCATGCTCTGGAATCTCCCATCCCACATATATGTGCTACCACACAAACGCCGTCACACCTTCTGTTTTGCTTATAAGGCTTTTAGGTTGTAAGGATTTATATTTTTCTCTTTTCTATTTTTTCTATTTTTTATATTTCAAACAAATTTTTAAGAAAGGAAATCATTTTGCTTTTTCTTCATAAATTTTTAATAAATTCTCGCAAAGTAACTTGTACAATTTCTATAATATATGTATATATGTGTCTGTATGTGTAAATTTTGTAATATTAATGCATGAGAAATCAGTTCTTTATTTAAAAATATTTTTTTATATATATGTAATAATCCATTTGAAAATTTTTAATATTCAACGATATTTTAACTTTTTTATATCCTGTGTGCATATAATGTGTGTGTGTGTATGTATATTTACATATATATAAATATATAAATTTCAAATTTTTATAAATAAAATAGTACGGAAATATTTACTTTGGTTAAATGAAACATTGTTGATAATAAATTTACTTCCTTACTGTTTAAGTATAAATACGCATCATTCCAAAAATAACAAATCGACGAAATAAAATGAATTATTTAAAAAGAAAAAAAGACATGAATATATAATATAATATGTATTATACATACATACAAACATACATATTAATTAGTATACGAGCCTAAGTGAATGACTTCGCATTTAATATTATGTCATATTTTTCGTTTTTGTATTTTTTTCGGTTTTTTCTTTTTCTTTTCTTGATACGCGACAACAAAGAAAAAGAGAGGGACGACGACGACAACTTTGAGAATCTTTTCTATTTCTCTTTCTGTTTTCGTTTTTTTCCTTTCCTTCCATTTTATTTTTTTTTTCCAATGACCGCATAAAATCAACATGGAATTTACGAGATAAATTACTCAATACCACTCTAATATCTCGATATGACGAAGAGTTTTGTTATTAAAGCTATTCACTACCCCTGGTTTATGTTATCAATGAGTAATTCTTGACCGATTGTAACGAACAAGATCGTATTTTAAAGATAAATGTTTAATCTAAGGCGCCTTTTCAAAGGATTGTTGAAACAGCTTTATTTTCTTTGAGAAAAATCATATTAAAAAATGATATTTTTCAAGAATAGCTTATGTTTAAATAAAAAGCTTTTTTAAAACTCCGCCGAAAGGACGCCGTAGATTAAATTTTCGTCTTTAAAATAGACCTTGCTCATAGAAATATGTCGAGAATTACTTCCCATTGATGGCGTCAATGCTATTTTCGACATTTTTCGAAAAATTATTGAAAAATATTAAAAAATGTTAGCGCTGCAGTTGATGCTGTAGAGATTTTCCACCGGAACGCGTGTCGTTATAAGTTTTAATTTTCACATTTCTCGTCAGGTGGATTTAGTGTCAGAAATGTGTTGCGTTCGTCGCAACTGTTATTCCTTCTCCAGCAAGACATAACTAACATGTCTCGGCGCCATCAAACGTACATGCGGCAAACTAACGTGAACACAAGAGAAATCATTCATTCATTCTTCGATTTCTCTAAAGATCACGGCCATAGATGCTAGAAGTTATAGTCTAATTGTACTTACTGTATATCGAACATAGTTAAATAAACATATCACTATTGTTACTTGATGTGCAAAGTTCTTTCTACATAGTGGGTTGTCAACGATAAAACCCATTGGAAAGAACTCAATTGAAAACCCAATGGAAGAGCTTCATTATCATATTTTTTCTTCTGTTGTCTAATTTTGGCTTTGACTAATTTGCGTAGTTTCCTGTATTTCTCAAAGTGCTTTGTCGATCCTGACCTAAAGGCCATCTTCCGTTTAATGTCTCTTTCTCGTATCCGAATTCTTATATTGTCATTTAGCTAAGGCTTATTTTTATATGCTATTGTGTGCATTGGTGCATGTTTATTTAAGTATTAATGACAATGTTGTTTAACCCTTTCGCTACGGCAGCCCTGTCCGCCGGAGTACCGTCACTGAACGGAAACTCGCACCGGAAATATGCACAGTGCTTGTGGTTTCTGTATATATGTTGTTCTAAGTCTTAAATAGAAACTGTGCTAAATAAAACAATCATTGCTCTAATGTAACAAGTATATTTACATTTTTAATATGAAAGGACTTACAAAATTATTAAAATACAAAATACAAAATTATAGGTAACATAGTGTCGTGTTTTTTTGATTGTTCATATTGCTCTTTTGAGCCGAGTAATAGTCTCATCTACAATATATTCTATGAGCTCTTGATAAAAAACAGTTCGAAGTAATCGATAATTTTTGACGATTTTTCTATTTTCTTCGTCAGTCCTGAATTTATCAGGAAAATTTATAAATACTTGCGGAAATTTTTCGATGTCCATGTTTTGTTGCACTGGGTGTCGTTTGTATTATCGTCAATTAACTCTGCTTCTGATTCTGAAGTGCTGCATATATTATTACTCCGTCGTCTTTTGGTGGACATTATTTTCATTTTCAGAATCGGTTACTTCAGTTTCAAACATAATACTATTTTTATGCTTTGTACTCATTTTGAAAGGGCCTAAACTATTTTTGTAAATACATTTTCAAACAAAACCCTAACCTGAAAACTATAATTTTTAAGAGTTAAGAATTATACCTTAAGCCGATCTATTCCTAATTCCTGTAAAAACCAAATATGTAAAATCGTTTACTACCGAATGGATTCGATAGAATATTTGGTATAAAACAGTAAACGATCGCCTTGATGTTTGTAGTTTATTGCGTAATACGTTTGTATGTGGTTTCAACAAAGAGCAGTTTTAAAAAGTTTTAAGAAATGATTAATCCAATATGTCAATAAAAATCAACAGAGAATGCTTTGCCGATAACGAAAAATGTTGCCATCGACTATAGATGGCACTTGTACAGATCATTTCGATGGCACATATATGCGGCGCTCGTACCCAGAAGTGGTGGCGTGAATGCCGCGTATATACGGCGCACGTACCTACAGGTCGTCGAATGGATGCCGCATATATGCGACACTCGGCGCGAAAGGGTTAATGAAATTGTATCTACCATGCAATTAACAGAGTTAGCGTGATATAATTCAGTCCGGTCAAAGTTCTCCAGTTTCCGTAGAAATTCATTGTAGTTGAAATTTTTGAAGTCCTGCATCTTTCCACCAAGAATAGGAAGGAACCTTATATCTATAGGTTATAAATATTAAGTCATGGGCCGAGTGAAATGGAATTAGAAATTGTACTGATGCGATTAGCTTATCATGATCATTTATAAAAGATAAGAATCTCCATTTGAACTATTTCCTATTGAAGGATGCTATAAGGAGATCAAAATTAAAATCTCCCAAAATGATCGAATGACTCGACAGACTTGCTAAATTCATAAATTTGATTCGAACTCAGATAGGAAGCCAATTTTCGGTGGATGATATATTACTGCAATTAGAATTTTGGCCTTATCTTTACAGTGTTTCGATTATTATATATTCTGGAAGATGACAATATGTTTCATTTGATATTGCAATTTTTCGAGCCTTGAAAAATGTACATATATTCAAACTCCTCCACCCACTTTACCAATTCTGTCATATCTCAGTAAGTTATTATCTTGTAAGCTGATCATGCTGTCAGAGATCTCAGGTTTCA